ATGGATAACTGGACATAGGTGTTGTTCCCTGGTAGGTCTAGGTACTCATGCCCACCTTAGGGTGCGTATTCGCATATTGCCTCCTATTCAGGCTGAGACAAACCTACTGGACTAGCGAGCGTCCTATAGTGTGTACTATATATACATATATGGACTACTCTAGATATTGTTGAGTCTTTCTAGGATGTATCTGCGTATCGGATTATTGTTTGGATCGTAGTAGATCAGGACTTGCATGTGGGCCTGACCCACTCTATTATTTTTCAGGTATTTGACAGTACCAGGCTTAGAGCTTGATCGTGTTGATGCAGATACAGACACTCACTCTTCCGGTTACATAGGATTTCCTTTCTACTTTAATTTTGGTTTTTAATTATGTAAATTTATTCAAGGTTTTGGGATTAGGGGTCCACTGAGTGAATTCCCGAGTTGTACGGTTCAAAATTATATTAATTTATTAATTCAAGTCTGAGGATTCTTATTTTAGTTTTCTTCCAGCGTATTATTATTAAGTTTTTTTTAACTCAGTTTTTATTTTCTGCTTGTTTACATATTAATTGTTTGGTATCCCTCGGATCTGCGCTCGGACTTAATCACCCGTGGCTCTAGAATCGAGAGTATCACATTCATTGTCCCTTTCAGTCAATCAATTCGCGCAGATGGGGTAAACTGCAAAAAAAATATATAGTTTAGGGGGGTTTCTTGCACATACCCCAATAGTTCAGGAGGGTTTTTTGCAACTTTTATAGTTCAGGGGGGCTTCTTGGACATACCCTAATAGTTTAGGGGGGTTTTTTGCAATTTTTATAATTCAGGGGGGTTTCTTGCACATACCCCAATAGTTCAGGGGGGTTTAATGCACTTTACCCTTAGAGTTATAACTGTTTATGATACGGACGTTTACAACGATAAGGAAGTTGAGTGAGATGATTAATAAAGATAAGGATAAAGATGAGAACATCTGATTCTAACAGAGAATGCAATGAATTGAGTACATTTAAACACAACTATCAAATAATCAGGCAATTTAAGCACTAATTAAAGAGACAATGAAAAAAATAAAAATAAAAAACATTCAATTAAATTTATAATATTGAGAGAACAATAACAATATTCAAATTTAATCAAAAAAAAATTATATGTAAAAAATGGCTAGCACTAATTAAAGAGATAATGAAAAAAATAAAAAAAAAAACATTCAATTAAATTTATTATATTGAGAGAACAATAACAATATTCAAATTTAATAAAAAAAAAAATTAAAATTACAAAATTAATGAATTATTCTACCAATATGGAGTGTGGGTGACACGTACCTTTGCAAAAAAAGGCTCCGATCTTGGCAAAACTTGGACTAATAAGAATAAGAGAAAGACAATTGATTAGGTTTTATTTTTATTTTTTTTATTTTTGTATACATTAAATGTATTAAATGTAGCAATATATGTAATAAAACAATGCATGATCAAAACATAAGATTAATAATAAGAAAAAAAAAAAAAAAAAAAAAAAAGCAATTGATTAGGTTTTTTTATTTTTGTATACATTAAATATAGCAATATATATAATAAAACAATGCATGATCAAAACATAAGATTAATAATAAAACAATGCATGAGCAAAAAATAAAACAATGCACGTACCTTGAAAATTAATGTGATTAGATGAAGGCAAAAAAAGACTTATATATATATAGAGAATATAGATTTAATTAATATCCAAAATGGACTCCTTTTCTCCCTCGCCATGAATCCCTTCCTGCTGCAATCATGTTAGGTTTTGAATTTTATTATAATTTATTATATTTTGAGTGCTGCAATCGTGTTAGGTTTAGTAGTAGTAGTATAGTATAATTTGAATTTTAGTTATTAGGTTTTGAATATAATTTGAATTTTAATTATTATATATTTTGAATTTTAGTATAATTTGAATTTTAATTAAACTCTTTATTGGTTGTGGGATATAATAATTAAACTCTTTATTGTGAATTAAACTCTTTTTATGAATAGGTTTTTATTAATGAGAGTAGTGTAGTATAATTTGAATTGTGAATTAAACTCTTTTTATATTTTGTTAATTAGAATTTTATTAGGTAATTTGTTATTATAATTTAGTAATTTATTACCATGGAAGCATGTGGTAAGTTTTAGAGCTTTGGGGGTTATCAAATTAGGAGAGGTTATATTATATTTTGCTCTTCCTGCTTGGATGGTTCTTGTATATTGGTTGGTCTCTGTCGTTTGATGTATTAATTTTGTTTTCCAAGATATCATTTTTAGTGTGACTTACAGCAATAAACTCACGAATCATTTACATCAAGAATTTTATTAAATAAAAAATATGAAAATTGACAAATAATTTAATATATGGACCATTTGGTCAAACACAATTGATTATAGATTGAATTTTCAACAGTAACTCTAAAGCTATTCCGAAATGTTCAGATCAAATATGGTACTTAATTTAAATATGTTTGTTCTCAAGTGTGGAAAGAATTATTTGGTCCATTTGGGTTTGGTTTAAGTTTTGAATCCCTTCCTACTGCAATCGTGGGATATAATAGTTAATGAGAGTAATATAATATAATTTGTTAATTTGAATTTTATTAGGCAATTACTGTTATTATATTTTGTGTGAGTAGTATAATATAATTTGAATTTATTATATTTTGTGATTATTATTTCTTTAGCTCAATAGTTTTATAGGAGGCTTTTTTGTAATCCTTTTTACTTAAAACCAATGTAGGACTTTGTAATTTGAATTAAACTCTTTTTTTATTTTGTTAATTTGAATTAATTTTAATTTTATTAGGTAATTTTAAGTTTTATAGAATTTATATCGTGGGATATAATAATTAATGAGAGCTCTTTATTGAGAATTAAACTTTTTTTATATTTTGTTAATTTGAATTAATTTGAATTTTATTAGGTAATTTTGAGTTTTATAGAATTTATATCAATTAATAAATAAATACTGAAACTCTTTGCACAAAGGCCGAGAAAGTAGTACTACACTTGATCTCAGCCAAAAGACCAAAAAAGGTTAGCTAAAAGGCTGACCCAAAAAAAATTAGTACTACACTTTATTTTAGCCAAAAGGTGTGATTAGTATTTCTTTAGCTCTATTATTTTATAAGTGACTTCCATGTAATCCTTTTTACTTAAAACTAATGTGAGACTTTGTAATTTGAATTAAACTCTTTTTATATTTTGTTAATTTGAATTAATTTTAATTTTATTAAGTAATTTTGAGTTTTATAGAATTTATATCAATTAATAAATAAATACTGAAATACTGTTCTATATATCGTGGGATATAATAATTAATGAGAGCTCTTTATTGTGAATTAAACTCTTTTTATATTTTGTTAATTTGAATTAATTTGAATTTTATTAGGTAATTTTGAGTTTTATAGAATTTATATCAATTAATAAATAAATACTGAAATACTATTCTATATATCGTGGGATATAATAATTAATGAGAACTCTTTATTGTGAATTAAACTCTTTTTATATTTTGTTAATTTGAATTTTATTAGGTAATTTTGAGTTTTACAGAATTTATATTAATTAATAAATAAATACTGAAACTCTTTGCACAAAGACCGAGAAAGTAGTATTATACTTAATCTTAGCCAAAAGACCAAGAAAGGTTAGCCAAAAGGTAGATCCAAAAAAATTTAGTACTGCACTTGATCTTAGCCAAAAGATCGAGAAGGTGTGATTATTATTTTTTTAGCTCTATAGTTTTATAGGAAACTTTCATGTAATCCTTTTTCTTAAAACCAATGTGGAACTTTGTAATTTGAATTAAACTCTTTTTATATTTTGTTAATTTGAATTAATTTTAATTTTATTAGGTAATTTTAAGTTTTATCGAATTTATATCAATTAATAAATAAATACTGAAAGTGTTTCACATTTAATAACAGTATAGATATATATATATATATATATATATATATATATATATATAAGTGAGAGAAATAAATAAATAAATAAAAATCAATGGAGAGATAAAGCGGATGCAAAGTGAAAGGGAAGATTTACCCCAAAAAAAAAAAACAGTGAAAGGGAAGAAGAAATCATTGGAGAAATAAAACGCACTTGTTGCATCATGATGGATAGGTTTGGTTGATTGCTTATCCTTTTTTAAAAAAAAATCAATTCATCTTTTTTAGTATTTTTTGACAAATAATTATTGCTATTCAAATAGAAATAGTTAGATTAATGGATACTTGGATAGGTGAGAGATCAGACAGGATGGATAATTAATGACTTACACAAACTTTAATTTTCATTTTAAAATATTTTTAATTATAAGCTAAACACCAAAATATATATGCTGGAAAACATTTTTAGAACGTTTATCAAACACAGAAAAATAATATATATATATATATATATATATATATATATATATATATCATGTCTCTAATGCAACTTGAGCCCTCCACCTCTCCATATTTCGAGTTCAAATTTCATTTCCTATTACAACAAAACTTATATTTAAATTTCATATATATGACATCAATTTGTCATCAAAATCATTATCACAAAAAAGAACATTTATAACCACAACCATCTTATTACGCTTGGAAAATGATGTAAAGGCTATTTACCGGGAAAAAAAAAAAAAAGATGTAACGGAAGTCAAATTGAGAATTATATTATTACAATGAGAATCACAATTTTCAGAGAAAAAATGAAATATTATTAATAACTGTATTGATTTGCTCTGAAGTACACCTATTTATAGGTATAATGTCACATGATTTTTGCATACATGTGTGTTTAAGAGTACTTGATATGCATAAACACGAATTGCTATCTCTGGGTGGTATCTAAAAACCCAATCCTGAATCAAACTGTTTCCTAGCTAGAGCATTTGGAACATAAGATCAGATGTAAAGATAAAAAGGGACTGGTCCTGTAGTTGGCAAGCTAAAATGCTAGGTTGGGATGGAAATGGTCAGCTTCGTTTCCATACATTAATTTTTAACTAAAGGTATTGGAGCGAATAGGGACCACCCTTGCAACTTTGTCATGAGAGCATGAATTAATGGAGGATAAAATTCCAGTAGTCCAGCTCAAGGATCTATGGTCAAATTTTGTTACTAAGCTTGTAGAACCTTCTTCCAAGAGTGCATCAATGTCGACCTCCTCTACCGGAGCTTCCTTATAGCCGTACTTGTTTGAGACATACCAGTAAAAGCATAAATTCACAAGACTTAGCATTGCTAACATTCTGTAATACTCATCCAAATGACTCTTATTTAAAGTGTCCTTAAACCAGCCTCTAAAAGCAAGCACAAAAGGTATGCAGAGGAATTTCCCAATACCCAATATACAGTCACCGAATGCTGGCCCATAGCTCCTCATGGATTCGTCAACATGATGGTTGAAGAAATTCCGGAGCCCTTCTTCAGCAAGTCCTTCCATAAGCCCTAATAGGCAGAACTGAGGAGATAACCAAAATATGTTCATGGAAATGATCTCGTCTGACTTGTCTTTGAGTCTTCCTTTGCAAACTAAATGCAACCTGTGGACCTCAACCTGCCAAGCAGTAATGCAACATAATATTGAACAAACCATACCACTAGCAATTTTCACAAGCATAGTATTGTTTCGATTTGCTCCACCCCACAGCTTTGAGAAAAGAAAGTCATACATATAAGAGATTGCGAAGCTTGAAAAAGACTTGATTACAAAGAATGTAACAATTGGGACGTTAATGGATTTTCCGCCAATTTTTATTTCACTATCCTTCAGGCTAGTAGTCGTTTGTTCAATAAAGAAAGTGCTCCCTGTTGCCTCTACAAGACTGTATACAAGGAAGGTTGTCCACATAGGCACCATTTTAAGTAGAACTTTTACTTTACTCACTTCTGCAACCGTGCAAATCTTTCCTTTCTTTTCTTGTTCCTCTTGACTACTGAGAGAAGATGTCTCTACAATTGCAGCTTTGTCCATCCACCTGCAATGCACCGACTAAGACCTTTATAAGGCATGTGTTTGAGAGGTATCTAGAGAGAGACAGAGAAAGTGCCTGTTTGGCATTTTTTTTTTAAAATGCTGGAAGTGTTCGGTAATGTATTCTTTAAAAAACAAAATTAAGGATTTTTTTTATCTTTGAGAAAATACAAAGAGGGATTAGGATGGCGACGGACAGAGTTGGGCCGGATTTGGTTAAACCCTACTCCGTCTTGTTAGAAAATCTATCATACTAACACCGTCTCTATACGGGTACGGGTTTGTAATTGTTATACCTTCCCTACTCCTATTCCGGTAGAAAAAATACCGACTCCACTCCATATATTCTGTTTAATTGTGGGGTGCAGTGGGAGTGAGCGGAGTTATGTCACTTCTATTATGTAAAAATAAAATAAAAATAAAAAAAAGCCTAATCCAATTTGATTGGACTAAGGTGGCCCAACTTTTAAATTACTAAGTGGTGAATATTAATATATGAACAGACACTTCCAATAAAATAACAAGAGTCTTAAAAATATAAAATATATATTTTATATATTAAAACAAATTAAAAGGTACATATATAATCGGGACAGGGTCATTACTAAATCCGCCCCCGTCCTAAACCCGCGACAGTGTCTTAAAAATTATTTTAGTATACCCGTCTCAAATCCATTTAAGGGTCACTAAATCCACCCCATTAGGGACGGGTCGAAGGAAATTGCCACCCCTAAGAGAGATACTTATCCATGCAATTCAAATAACCTAAAACTTTGTACCTCTGCATATTACAACAAAATGTAAATTTATTTGTTATGATGATGGCATCGATTCTCTCACAGCATGCACTCCATAATCCACTACCACCAGAGACACAGGCATACCCCCATCTCACATGTGGTGTGTAATTATCAGAAAAATCCTTTTAGGGTGGCTCAAAAGGAACTAAATACAATTTGAAAAGTACTAAATTGAGTTTCAGCTAAAATTCTATTCAGTCAAAATATCTACCATCTAGAAATACTTTTTATTCTATTCAGTCAAAATATCTACCATCTAGAAATACTTTTTATTCTATTCAGTCAAAATATCTACCATCTACAGATACTTTTTTTGTTTTTTGGTTAGCAAACACTAGATATTAGCATGCTAAGAGACACTGAGAGAGAAGTGCACCTGAAGAATGGAATGTGAGGCAACAAGAGTAATTGTTTGCCATCATTCTTGAAGAATTGACCGGCACTGGTTGGGTAGTCAAGATGCTGCTTAAAAATAGATGCCTTGAATACACGATAAACAATGGTAAGGGGGCTGCCTGTTGGTTTTTTGCAGTAGTAGAAGGTGGTGCCTGACCACAACAATAGATATCCAACCGCCATAGTAATGGTCGATATCTTGAAAGTATATGCCCAATTATTTGGTACGAATGCAGCTATTGCAGCTCCTGAGCACCACGCAAAGTGCCACCAAACTTTCCTACGAGCCTCCACTCGTTCCTCATCTATATTTGAGTTTGGTTCCAGCTCCCTTAACTGATCTGCTAGAAATTCTTTGAAAGAGGCGTCTCTTCCTGCTGTTCCCAAAGCTATTAGCATCATTGCCACATAAAATAAGTTAACCTTGGTTTGCCATAGTAGTACTAATCCCTACAAAAATAGATCGAGTGGTTAATTTAACAAAGATACAAACTTGTTTCTTGGTAAGGACTACATGTAATGGAAAAGAAAAATAAAGCAGCATTTGATTTTCCTAATGTGAGTACTATTATAATATGTTCTCAGGAGGGAAATAGAGTAGAAGACTTTGTTTCATTGTGATTTGGAGGTCACAAATTCGAAATAAGAATAATTTTTAAATCGGATGTGTAGATTAGGTTGTGTAAATCTAACTCTGCCTACCTGCAAAATACTCTCCCTAAAACTCTAAACCTGAGGGGAAAAAAATGTTTTAAAAAAAAAAAAAAAGAAGACTATTTGTACAATGACCAAACTTACAATGATATAAGCAGCAGTAGAGAAGTGGACCATTGCATAACGTCCTAAGTATGCATCTGATGTGTGAGCTGCAACAATCACCATAACCGTTGATACGCCATCTTTCACATTAATCACCGCCGCGGCTTTGTTGAGATGCTCCTCCTTCCAGCTGTCAGCGAGATAAGACATCAACACACAGCCAACTGTATTTTCTACTAAGCCATGGCTAAAAATCACTCCTATATATCATCATCAAAAAGACAAATTATAAGAAGAAAAAAAAAGGTTAAGCAAGCAAATCTCTCTATCGGACTGAAAATATATATATATATATATCTCCCTTTTTTCTTCTTTTTTTTCTATTTTTTTTGGGTAAAATGGGTGTAAGTAGTGTAAATGAAAAGAAGTATGTACAACCAAGTTCTCTATGGAACCAACAAGCACAATCCAAGGTTCAAAGAAAATTGTATATATATTTATATATATGTGTGTGTGTGTGTGTGTGTGTGTGTGTGTATATATTGCAAAATTAAACCACCGCTCCTTCTCACATTCTCTGCTAGTGAAATTATAATGTCAAGAAATTAAGATTACGAACCAAAAATGAATGAGGCCCCCTTGGAGAAGACGATATAGTAGCAGAACCGTTCAATTGCCATACCATAGAGCTTAGACGTCATTCTACTTCTTGTTGGTGGTATCAGTAGCTTTGGATCAGCTTGAAGTTATATATATATATATATATATTTGGACAATAGAATGAACTATATACCTCGATCATGCAATTTTGTATCTCAGCTTCAGCTATGCTTCTTGAAGACTGAGATAGCGCATTATATATGGAATATTGTAAAGGATTAATATTGATATAGTTATATAGTATACAGAATTGTGGCAGGATGGAAAATTAAGAGGCCCATAAAGTGCATGCATTTGATCAAGTCCACGAAACCCATATATAAAATAAAAAGAAGTAAAAGTTGAATCCGAAAAAGTGAAATAAGAAAACGAGTCCACCTAAAGTTGATACGTATAATATTGGAAAATTAAATGAATATTGTGATGACATGTGTGCGCAAAGATACCATTGGATGCTAGAAAAGGATAAAGTTGAGTCTATATTGGAGAATGGATGTGGACGAGGGACAATCAAAAGCATTTAACGGCTAACGCCTGCTTTTGGACACGATTTCACATTTATGTTATGAAATTCTGCACGGATGCAAGCCGCCAAATGATGTTTCTGTTCCTGTCTCCCGCTGATACGCGGAGGAGCTGACTTAATTTTCACACTAATCGTGTGTCACACACACGACCTATTGTGTTTTTTTGTTGAGTCTTGATTACGTAAAGAATTTGAGAAATTAAGGTCCTGTTTAGAATGAAACTCTTAAAACAATTTTCTATCTTGGGAGTTACAAAAAACTGTTCTTCAAATTTTTAGTCTACTTGAAACCTGTTTTTACAAAACTGAGTTGGCTGAGTATCAGTTTTATGAGAACAACTTAAAGCTGTTCTGTCAGTTTTGAGAATACATTATCACTTTGTTAGAAAACACGGAGAACAATTCCTCACATAAAAAGAACGGAACCCTTGCTCGTTTAAAACCCTCTCTAGACTTTCTCTCTCTACCTTATCTTCAACAACATATTCTGAACTAGCCTCTCTATCTTACGCTTCTCTACCTTATCTTCAACATCTTCTCACTTCGATCAAAAATCTTGTTTGGTGGTCGTCGATCGATCCTTGCCTCTTAAAGATTTTTTTTGGCACTTTTTTGAAAATATGAGAAACCTCTCATCTCTCATCGATCTTGTTTCACCCTACTTTTCTCTCAATCATCGATCTTGTTTCACCCTACTTTTCTCTCAATCATCGATCTTGTTTCACCCTACTTATTCTCAAATTGTCGCTGGATATGGATGCTCAATCCATGAGTGGTGGTATTGGGAGCCTTCTAATCTGTACAATTTTTGCTTCCGTACAATGTTCCCTTCTCTTAAAACATACTACGTATAATATAATCACTGGCCTTGCTATATCTATATATAGCTCTGAATTTTATTTTTTTAATTTTATTGTCGATTTTATTGGGCTGGGTTTGCTTTTGTTGGATTTGGTTGCGGCCGGATTCGGATTTTCTTAGTTCTATTTTTTTAAGATGTGCCTTCTTTGATTGTGAACAGAGAGCTCCTTTGCCTAGTGAAAAGAGGATTCTAAGGGAACTTGATGTAACAAATAGTTGTTGACAAATTTTTGTTTTCTAAAAACTTCTATAATTTTTTTCTACATTATGGATTGTTTCTGCTTTCTATTTGATTTTTTCTCTTCTTGTAATTTCTATTTGTTTTTTGGAAAAGAAAAATTATATATATATATATATATATATATATATATATATATATATATATATATTTGTTGATTTGATCTTTTTCCACTGAAATTAACCCTAATTACATCTTTAATTATTAAACTTTTAATTATTATTCTAAGTATAAACATTCATCATATTCCAAGATTATGATTATTAGTATAATCTAATTTTTTTTTTTTTTTTCCGCTTTGTTTGTTGAATAAATCTTACCTTCATGAGATTTTTTTTTTTGGTAATAGTATTGACATCGTCAAAGATTTAAAATATAAGTATATAAATAAATAAATAAATATATATATATATATATATAGCGTACAAGGCAAAATAAATGTTTTATTATATTTTTTCTTCTTAAGTTCAAAAAACTATTTTTAAACAACCAAATAGTTTTTTGATTTTTTGTTTTTTGAAAACTGTTTTGAAAATTTTTCTACCAATCAGATTTTTAAACTCAAAAAATTGTTTTCAATTTTCTGTTCTCATTCTCTAAAAACTGATTTTGGAAATTTTTCTTAACACTACATTCCAAGCAAGGCCTAATAGTTTCTATGTCTTGGCTATTGGCACGCTTGAACCGATTCAGTAATTTCTGAACTGTTTTCACTTAAGTAGTTGGTTTGAACTTTGCCCACTGTCTTGGCTATTGTATGTGATTTTTTTTTTTTTTTTTTTTTAATTGTTTGTGATTATTCTTTGAACAGTGCTGTTATTTGCATTTCAAGCATAACACGACCAACCTGGTCTGGTCAATTCATGCAAGTTTGGAATTTGGATGATCTTCAATGAAGTTAATTTTGGGTTTGGTCCGCCCCGCTGTGAGGGGTGAGTCTAGAACATGCCCACGTGCGTAATTCAATTAACAAAAGCAAGGGATCTGTTATCTCATCCAAGAGCCGTCGTGAAAACACAGAACAGTAAGCTAGCTTGTTCACGGCTGTGAAGGGAGATAAAGGTAGAAAGAAACTTCAAGTGGAGATTTCAGGCAAAGAGCTCTGCATATCTACTGGATTTGATCATTGGTATTGTCTCTCCAAATGAGTCGATTTGGGTCATCATCTTTTTCACATTTGGTGAAATCTAAATATGAAATTCACCATTATTGGTGAAGATATTATTGTGGTGAGCCAAGAGTATGTTACTCTCAATGATTATATTCCTCTAATGGTACTAGAGAAGAAACATTGTGTACCCCCTTTATTGTTACACATTGGAAGTTGAAATCGGACGACAGCCCTCGTAATTTTTTTTTCCCTCGTGGAATATCTTAATGTCACTTTGTGTATGATTATCATTGCTTATACTTAATTGATTATGTAATGATCCTGATTTTTCCTATTTTTTATTTTTTGAAATGTTTTTTATTTTTCGGTGTTATTTTCATTTTGTCTCGTTTTGTGTGCCGGACATCGTGGGGGTGTGTCGAGTGTGTTGCAAAAGTTGGTTGGGACATTTTTTCAAGTCCAAGGCTCTTGAAAATGCATTGATTGTCATTTGGACATTTTTTGGTGAAATATCTTAATGTCACTTTGTGTTCAATCAAGTTTTTCAAATCTGTCGAATGAGCATGGAAATTCCATTTTCATTACGCAAGGGTATTCTTGGTTGGTACAACAAGATTAATATTTTCCTCGAGTGCAGAAGCGAAGAAAGAAAGGTTGGAAAGTTATGTTTGGATTTATATAATGAACAATATCTCAAACTCGACGGCGAGTTTCCATCAACCGGGAGAGTATGACACCGGAGCGTCCCTTGCCAAAGCCCTACTTGAACTATATTTTTTAAAAAAGCGCAAAATTGATTTTTGGCCCAACTACGAAGCCCAGCCGAGAACGCTACAGAATGAATTGTGCAAGGAGCCACCTATGGTCGGAAAGATCAGTCTACAATGCAAAAAAGGTGCGTGAACATTGGTAGGAGGAGTTATGGATTTATTTCTGACTGAAAATTCTATATTGGTGGCTGGATGGAAAACTAAGAGGAAAGTGCATGAGATTGAAGCTCACGAAAAACTATACCCAATAAAAAAGTTGAATCTGCAAAAAGTGAAAGAAGATAACTAAGTCCACCTGATATCAATGATTGACCCATAAAATATTGGAAAAATGTACAACGTGATGTCTGATGTGCACATAAATTATTGGCTGCTATAAAAAGCATAAATTAAAGCAGTAGTCCTGCATCAGCTATAGTTTGCTACTTTGAACGTACAATAAAGTTGTGCATAATGCAATGAATCTAGGGACAACCAAGGTTATGTATCTTTAACAGCATATATTTGTCTGGGTTGCACTCACTCTTACAATCTTCGAATCCCGAACCATCCGATATAAAATACAATACTATAGTTAGTGATGGTTATAATAATAAAAATAATTTAAAATCTTTTTTTTTTCATTATTTTGTAACGAAGTAATTTTTAAACTTATTTTTTTCTCTTTAATCCAACAGAATAAAAAGAGAGAATGATGTTAATACATTTTCTAGAATATCTCATTTATCTTTTCTTCTCTCCCTTCCATCTAAATTTTGTCCTTCCTACCCAACAAATCATTCATCTTCCCCATCTTCTCTGTAACTCCTTTTGAGTACTCTAGATTAAGAAAGGTTTGGTTGTATAATCCGATTTGGACTATTTTGTCTTGTTTGTCATCTGCAATTGTGGATTGACTTGTGTAGAACTTGAGGTTGGTTTGGGTTGGTCTCTACCAAGAAAAACCTATTTCAGGGCCAGTGGTTGAGCTTGAAATGGGTCCAATATGTTGGGTTATGCACGTAGACTAAGTGGGCCATGACATTGGGAGAGTGGAAAGCCCACATATTGGCCCACTTAATTATTTCAGATTCTGTTCCATATAGACTTTGTAAATCAGACTCGCACAGTGCCCACACACAGACAAAGATCGTTAATTGGTAATTACTGTACATTGAAACATATTATAGAGACTGATTATAGCAGTATTTGCATGAACCCCATTGATGAGATTATTAACTATTTTGTATATATTAAAATCTAATAATAGTTTGATTAAGCATGATATTAGATGCTCGGTGTAAAATGACGTTTAAGCCAAGTGACACTACTTAGATGCAATTAGGGGTCATCACGAATCGGATTAAGCAATCTACCAGTTGGTGAAAATAAAATGACTTTTAGGAAATCAATTTATGCAAAAATTAAAATAAAAAAAAAAAAAAAAGTCGCAGATCTAAAAGAATGGAAATGCAAATTCCCTATGTGATACTACTATATATTACAGGTAAATTGGAGGGAACAAAAAATTAACGATGAAATCAAACAATTACAGATCAGGTTTTTTGAGGCTCTAATCCGTTAGCTAATCTGTTGACTATAAATTTCTTGTTCATAAATTCATAACCGAAGTGTTAGTTTAAAAAACTGATTCAATTCGCACAAATCGAATTAGATTCAAGGATTGCTGGACCAAATGAACACCGCTAGATGCAATTGCATGACTATAAAAATTATTAAATGCAGTTTGGCATGTCAAAGTGTTTATATGATTTTATCTGTTGCAAGGAAGTCGATGCATGGTTGATTAATATGGATTAGATTTTGATAATCAGAACAAAATATTAGTTATAGTCTTCTTGTCACACTGTTCCAACTTCCAACAATGATATTTTCTTTAAAAAAAGAACAAAATTATTTAATCCCGTTAATTATTTGATCAATGCTGTTCAAGTTAGTATTTTGTAAATTTTAGTAGTCTTTTGAATCTACTTCTGAAAATGATGGTGGAAGGAGCTAGATGACCATTTCTTGTCAAATCTATTTACTAAATCTTTGAAACAGGGAGGGACATTAATGATTTAATTTGTCACTAGCATTCAATGATGGCATATATTATTTCTTATAAATTTGGATTTATAACACATCCTATCATTATCTATTCGGCTGAATCGTTAATCTACCCTATACTGTTAATCGCCTTTGAAAATAAATGAATAATCCTAACTAGAAAGATATCCTCCATAATTTCAGTGACATTGATGCTAAAGGGGAATTATCATTTTGTCAAATCTATTTACTTTGACAAATATGAAATTACAATTTTTTTTTTTTTTTTTTTTTTTGGTCATATATGAAATTACATCGATCACTGGTCATATTAATGACAACAAACACTAATAACTGTTGCAGCGGGGTTCAAGATTCCTACTCATGATTTGAAATATTTGGACCAGCAATTGGGAACAATCCACGTACAATATGATTTACTGTTTCCATATACATCTTATGTTACACTGTTATAAGCATGTTGGTATACACTCTTTTATGGGTACAGATCATCTCTAAGAAAATTTGTCTCCTAACATCTACACGTATTTAATTTTATGACTGTTAAAGCATCACATCAATAATTTATCATTCCATCATTGATTAATCAAACTTAATTAATTAATTAATTAATATAGTATCTTTTAAACTAAAAACTTTACTGCACCCTCACGGTTTCCAAGATAACAATTACCATTAAGCTTACCTCTTTCGCTTTTTATCTACTATCATCAATCTTTATTCGCTGGTTTAAAATATTTCTAAATTTTTTTAGGTTAGCATGATTCTCTTTCTATCCAGCAAATCCCCATACCCCAACCTACAGGCTACAGTCCAAAACATAACTATAGGTTATTATGAATATAAGTAACACTAAAAACGTTGTGGATTACGGGGTTAATTTTTGGTGTTAAGGGTCGCAATAGAGTTTTTAGTTCAAAAAATATCATATTTATTAGTTAATTAATTAAGCTCGGTAAATTAATGATAGAATAAAAAGTTATTGATGTGGCGCTTTAATAGCCGTACAATTAAATACCTATAAATGTTAAGAGGCAAATTTCCTTGAAGATGATTTGTACCCCTCTTTTATTCACTTTCATTTCATTCCATGTTCACATAACAGGGTTGTTTATATAATAAATCCTTAAGATCACTATTTGTGAATATGGAGAGACATAATCACGCTTATCATAAAGTGTGTGGTTATTATGGTTTCACATCACCAAAAAGGTGACTCCATGTCTTGATATTTTCCATAATTTAAGTAACAATGATGCTTAAAGGGAACTATTATTTTGCCAAATCTATTTACTTTGACAAATATGAAATTACATCAATCACTGCATATTAATGGCAACAAAAACTAATAACTGTTGCAGTATGATTTTTCAAGATTCTGGGTTCAAGATTGCCACCGAATATTTGGACCAGCAATTGGGAACAATCTGTCACATACTTAATGATTTACTGTTACTATGTATAAGTTGATAAATTCTCCTTTAACTACCTCGCAGGCGCAAAGTCTTATCGATCTCTGTTTTTTTTTTTTTTTTTTTTGTTAATCTCTTATGTTACACGCAAATATAGAAGATGAATATGCCAATTATAAACATATGGGTATACACTCTTTTATTTACTTTCATTTCATTCTATGTTAACATATCAGGGTTGCTTACATAATAAACCCTTAAAAACGTCACTTCATGTCTTTATATTTTCTTTTGGTCCACATTAAGATGCAAAATGTCACTCCATGTCCCTCAAAGTAGTTAAAACTGTTTCAAATCATTAAAAAATAAAAAATAAAAGTGAAAATCTTTTCCAGTCCACGTTAAGATGCAAAATGCACTCCATGCCTATGAATTGATATTCTATTTCGGTCCACGTTAAGATGCAAAACATTATCAACATTGCAGACTTGGGGGATTGAGACGTGCACAATTACACATTTTAAGTGACCAATTAAAACTCTTACACCAATTAAGCACTTGATAACCTAATTCTCTTGAAATTTAACTGAGTTGATAATACAGTTAGTAATACCCGCCTCTTCTTCTGTTTTTTCATTTTTTGCTAGAAGTTAATTGATTTGACATCTAATTTATGGTGACAACGAGAAAAATGATTAATTAGCCATAACATGTAGGCAGTAGGTGCGATGCATATGGCCTAGAGCATTGAATTATGCAAATTTGAAGTCATTGTCGCGCATTTCCCGTGCTGATTTCAATATCAAGACTTGCTATAACTCCAAATAATGTCAGCAATTATAGTGTGAATTACATGATGCAGCTTTCAACAAAATACAGCCAAACAGAAAAAATGTATTAATCAATTATATTTTGGTGAATTGTATCTGGTGAGTATGAAAGAGACTATATATATATATATATATAGTGTTTGATTATAATAAAATTGCCTTTAAGAAGATGAAGAAGTAGACCGACTAATTAGGTGATCATATTAAGGGCAACGCCATGTGCATTCAGTAACTCCAGTGTGTGTTCTTCACTCTGATTAAATCCACATAATGGACAGCTACACATAAATGCCTCATTGATTTTAAGAGTGT